CGGCGTGAAAATCGCATTTTCGCAGTCGTGTGGCCTGCGGGTCGATCCCATGGTCCCATTACGCCTGCACGCTTCAACTGGGATCCTGCGACGGCAGCTTCCAGCTGAAGAGAGAGCGAATGAGAGGCGTGTTCTTGGGCTGTGTCTTTTTTTTTTGTCCCTTTTGTTGTGTTTTTTTTCCCTCAGATCCCAGAGATCCACGAGAGAAACCCGCGCCTGAATGGAGGATTCTGCGACAGATTGAGTAGGGAGGCCCAAGAGGTGACAGAAATGGAAACGTCTGGCTGTTAGGGTCACCCAAAAGCCAGACACCGGCGAATGCTTTTTTCCCTTTTTTTTTTTCTCTGCCCTTTGAGCACGCCGGTTTTAATTTTCGTGGTTCCCCCCTCGTTCACTCGTTCATTAAGCGGAAACCCTGCGTGCACGCACCCTCCCCGCGAGCATTGGCGCACTGGCGCATTGGATCTCAGACGGAAGCCTTATTCTTCTGCAGTGCCATTCCTTCTCCTTGTGCCCATTCAGCCTCTGTGCGCGGCACTGGTATCCAGCACACCCTGTGTCGGTCTCGGGACCGCGGCGCCGGGGGTCCAATCGGGAATGACGATCACCACCTCCGTGTCAGCACCGAGAGCCACCCCGAGGTACCTAGGTAGGTTTGCAACACCACCCGACCGAGACACACCTTTAGCTCCTCTTAGTCGGGCGCCCGCAGCCCATGCACCTCTTTTCACGGTTACCCGCACAATGTGGCCTGGAACATGGGACTCGTGGCTGATCGAGCTGAGAGGTGTTTGCCAGCGAAGCAGACAGAACCACAAGTCAAACTACTACTCCAGCTGTGTCAATGTGCAAGTGGTGGCTGTTCTTGCAATATTCTCAGAGATCCAAGAAACAATGGAGAACAGGACATGTTAAGGGACGAGCGTCTGGGCCGTTTGGGTCTGGAATGCCTCTCCGCCTGCACGTCATTGTAGGCGGGGTCCACATGACGGCATGTGTGCACGCCGTCTGGTGCCTTCTGCCCATCATGAGAGACACGGCCCTACCGATGAGAGAAACCACTGATGTACCAGGTGTCCGACAGGCTGTCCATTGTGCGTCGCAGGATCGCTGGAGTTGTCTTCTCCGTGGGTGCCGCACGCTCTGCTGGTTGTACCAGTCGACGGTGGCGCCAATTACCCACACCCCCCACAGGTGGCGTTGCGGCTCTTGGGTGGCGTATGGCTGGGGGCTGCCAGACTCCTGCACTCCTGTTTCCCCCTTGTGGTTAATATCAAAATCTAAGCGAGAATAACAGATTCGGCCTGCGCCGCCAGACAGGGGGGAGCTGGGGTACAACCGGACAGCGAGGGACATGGTCTCTCGCTGGCGGCCGTGCGCTCGACGCCGCCTGTTCACGCGTCATCACAGTGTCAGGGACCCGGCACAGGGCGACACGCTGAAGGGGCAGGCAAGGACCCAGTGAACTGGATACGACCGAGTAACCGACAAGAGTGAAGCGCGGAAGCTGGGAGGAGGGGGCTATTCGTCGAGCGCCAAGAAAAATCCTTCGCTTCTGCGTTTCGGTAGCCCCACAAGTGTCCTGACGGCCCATATGATCGTATATCGTATGCCACTAGCGCGGCTATACACCTGCCAGGTATCCCGACGGGCGCACCCAGGACATGTCGATGGGGGGTCGACAAAACAAAAACACCTAGGCAAGGCCCGCTGGATGGATGATCGCCACCGGCGCCAGTGTGATGTTCGGGAATGTCATTGTTGGCCCCCAGAGCATGCCAGCCAAGCCGCCATGCTACGCCATGGCCGTAACAATGGCCCCAGATGTTTGCAGCAGCCAGCGCGCCCATCATAGCCCACAGCTGGCCGTTCTGGCCAGCCTTGAGCCCCTTTTGGGCACAAAAACTCGAGCGCCGGCAAACGCCTGAACTCGCTGCGGGCGCCGGACGCCAGACTGTCCGGCCCGCCCCTGCCCCCAGCGGCCACCGGTGTACTGTACACCTACGCGGCTACGGGCGTGCGTGAAAGGCTATGAGCGTACGGCCAGCGACTGGGAACAGGGGCGCGGGAACGGTGCAGTTTGCCAGCTGCCTCTCAGCGTACCCGAGGAGAGTGTGTGTTAGAATACATGTCTGTTTCCGACTCTCACGCCCCTTGCATCATGGTCCTCTCGATGGACAGCTTTCCCGAGAGGGCCCCACCTCTCAGGCGCCGGAAGGCAGCCTAGCCATGCTAGCCAGCTAGTCTTGTGACATTGGGTCTCCCCCATAATGTCTTGATCTCGACCATTGTGTCGTGGAAGCTTGGCGTAGAGGGAGCGCTAGGAGGAGGGGGTTGTTCCTTGTAGCCTGTTGCAAGCAATTGCATTATGATCTACATCCGATTCATAACCTCCGTCGCTCCGAGCGGCGCGGCCCTGGCCCCAAGATCCCAGCGAGAAAAGCGGGCTCTGGGCGACACAAAGCAGAGAGGAGACAGAGTTTGATGGGGGTATTGGGTATGGTGCTCGAGGCCGTGTGCCGGCCACTGCGCTGCGAGGTTTTATTGTCGTTGAGCCTCTCTGTGCCACGACCCTTCTCTCCCTCTCCTGTTGCTCACGCTGTTGCTTTTTTTCCCTTGCCCCGAGACACTGACGATGGGCCCTGCGCGCAGCAGCAGCAGCAGCACAAGGGCTCGCTCCCAAACCCAGAGAGCGCCCAGACGACGTGAGGCGTCCGGCCTGGCCCCTGGATAGAGGAGACATGGGCGTCACCAGTGCATGCTTGTCGGCTCGAAGCAGGTCAAGCAGGCAGGCAGGCATCAGCGGCAGCGGCAGCGGCGGCGGCGGCGGCGATGGACCGGGGAGACGCTGGGATGGGCGTGCGGCCGGCTTTCTCGAATGGCCATCGTAGCCTTAAAGACCCATCCACCCCTCTGGCCACTCGATGGCCGCCCCCGCTTTACTTGTAGTGTCGCCGAGCACCCGGATCGCACTCTTGAATTCCTCTCCATCCCACCACAACAAGGTTTAGACGTCATCCTCAATCCTCAATCCGACTATCCCTCCTCCCCACCCTCCCTCCACTTTGGCCCTCGCTCTCGCTCTCTCGCTCACCACATCCACACACACTCCCAAACCAGATTCTCTGTCTGCCCAGCTCTGACCGACCCCGGTGTCTGTTCCAGGCTCTTCGATTTCATCCTGCTCGATCTCCCATCTGGGAACAGACCAACGTGCACCCACACGAAACGCATCCGCGCCGCCTACCGCCGTCCGACCCGACGACCTTTTCCCAGGCTAAGGCGCGAAGGCTGCAGAGCAGAGAGAGAGCGTACAACGTCGTGCACAAGAGCGACCTTTTCTGTGCCCACGCTTTGTGAAATATTGGCCGAGTGGGTCTTGTTCCCCGGATCCCCGCTCCAACACTGGTGAGTGTCTGCTGCTGCTGCTGGCAGCTGGCTGGCTGCTGCAGAACAACGGGACGGCAAATGCTCCCCCTCGTGCCCTCGTGCCCCTCCTCCTGCCCCTCATCCTCCTGCTCTCCTCTCCTGCTCGCCGCTGTCGTCGTCGTCGTCGTCGTCCTCGTTCTCCAGTTTTCGAAAGGCGGTCGGCGGAGGGTTCCCGTGACCTGGTGTGTCCTGTTTCTGGCAAAGGGGGTTCCTTGCCATATTCCTTTTGCAAACACAGGCAGACGACGACAAAATCCAGGCAATCGTAACAGCAGAGGACAAGGATACATTCCCCCCCTCTCTCGATCCCCCCCCATCCATCCTTCTTTCCGTCCCCGCCCTCTCCCCTTCCCAAGCTGTCTCGCTAATCCCCCGTTCAAGGCCTAGAAAGAGTTCTGGGTCACACAGCCGCGGCTCTCCACAGCTCTCCCAGCCCTTTGAATGTATTTCTGGGATTGAGCATCTGTGATCTGTGAGTGACCACCACCACTACCACCGCCGTCGCCGCCGTCCGACCATCCACATCCACCACATCCACATCCCATCACGTCGGTCGCACGCCGCCGCTCACACAAACAGCACCAACATCCTCCCCACCTCTAACACGCCACAACACACCCCCTCCGCGACAGGCATTCCTCACAGACCCAGCCAGGTCCAACCAGCACGGGCATCACCACAACCCCCCCTTCAGTCCCAGTGCCCGTGGCCCCACCGCCGGCCCTCGTTTTCCGCCTCAGCCGAACGCCTTGCAACATCCAAATCTACATTCCTCGCAAACAACCCAACAACCCCTCTCCCACCACCACCACCACCACCGAGCGATAGCGGTCCAAGCGGTCCGCGCCAATCCGTACAACGAAAGACACGCCTGAGGGTGTGCCGCAGTTTACGAGCTCGCAAAGCCAGATCTCTCGCGGCCAAGTCCGCCCCCCCCCCCCTCCTTTCCCTCCGCCGCCCGTCGAGAGACCCGTTCCGCACGCCCACTGCGCCACGCCTCGCTCTCGTATCCCCCATCTTCCTTTTACTTTCCTTCACTGCTTCCGTCTCGACTAGACCCAGTCGGTGCGCGCAACTCTCCCATCGAAACCCCCATCTGGTGACCTGTTCCAGGCAGCCGTTCGTCACAGGGCGCGACCTCTTGTCGATCCGGGCACACACCAACCTTCCTTTCCTCGGCTGGCCAGCTTCGACGGCCGCCCTTTTCGCGCGAGAACAATCCTTCTTTTGCCCCTCGACCGTCTGGGCTGTGGGAGAACGTCGTGGGCGCATCCATCGCGCTAGCTAGGTGAGTGGCAACTCGTTTGCGTTGGGTGGCGTGTGGATGACGACGGAGGCGGGAGTTGCCTTGCCAAAGAAAGGAGGAAAAAAAAACCACCAACAACCAAGTTGTTTGGGAAAAAAATGGATAAGCGCTGACGCGATGTTTTTGTCTTGCAGTTCAGCGCGTCCAGCTCTTTCTACTCGATCTTACAGAGTCATCTGAGCGACCGCTCGCCACCCAGGCCCCTTTCTATTGTCCTTCTTTGAGGCCCGTGCGCGCTTGCCACTTGCACGCGCGGCACGACGCCATGGCGGCTGACGCGCCGCCGTCATCCTCGGTCCCTCGCGGACCACCCACCACCAGCGGAGTCGGCGATGGACCCGGCGCCGCCCCCCATTCTTGCTCCCCGGACGAGCTCTACTTCCACGTCGTTGGCAAATGGCCCGGTTCAGAGCTGGGCTACCCAGCTGACCACACCGACGGGCAGGGGCCGTCTGGCGCCGGCTCGATGAAACCCGTGTCGCCGACAGACGACATGGACGACAGGCGCGATGGGTCCAACGCACGCGCCAAGAAGCGGCGCAAGGTCCAGCGGCGCGCAAAGGTGTCCGAGATCTGGTTCCCGCACGCCGAGATGGCGTTCTGTACCTGTGAATAACCCTTACAGCTGCGCTGCGCTCGAATACAAGACACACACGCTGACTCGTTCTCCGCAGGCGTCTCGTCCATTCCACCAAACGGCCGTACCAAGATCAAGTTCTTTGGCCGGCCCCTTGGTCGCAATGAGCTCATTGCTGCAATCTGCACGTTGGCCACGCGACGACTGTACAATCGCAAACAGATTTCAAGTCACAGCCAAGTTTTGAAAGACAAAGTCCCCCATCCTTGTAAGCGTCTTTTTTTGGGTTTATTTATTTTTTTCCCTCCCCGCGCACGCTGTTCTGACTGTATTTTAAAGACAAGGAAATCTTCACGTTTGAAGACAAGGCCCGTAGCGACGAGACTGGCGAGAGTTCGACGGCAAACGTGATTGAAAACTACACCTTCCCCGACGCCATTTACAATGTCATTGGGTATCGAGTCGGCACCGACCTTGCCAACTCTCCAAAGCCAGATTGGCTTGTTCGTCTCGAGGCTGGCGGCAGCGAAGTACAGGCCCAGCAGCCGGCTATGGACGCGTCGGCTTCTGGACGACCATACTCGTACTGGGCCAATAATCCCGCCGACCAGTATTCGGGCTACTATGACCGTGGTGGCCAGCCGGCGTACCTCATGAAGGGCAAGGAACGTGACGGGCGTGCTCCCATGCACCCACACCCTTCCCAGATTGACTCTAGCTACTATCAATATGGCCAGCAGTCCCTGCGCCAACAGCAGCCACCGTACGGCTCGTCCTCGTATCAAGGCCACATTGTTCCTCCCCACACCTTGCCTCCGCTTCCCGCGTCGCGAGACCTCGACGACCACCAGTCTCCCCTCGCTCAGCACACGACAATGAACGATCCGTCTGGCGTCGCGTCGCGGTACGGATATGCGTCTCACCCGCAAATGCCGCAGCGTGGGCAGCGTATTTCCAGTACTGGCCAAGTGTGGGATGGCGTAGACCACAGCCGCTCGCCCACAAACTCGACGTTTGAGGGACACTCACAGGGCTCGTCGGGCCTGTCTCCTCGAGACAGTATGGGACCTCCTTACGGCGACGTCAAGCCATCCATGTCTGGCGGCGACCACCTCACGCTTCCTCCACTTCAAGAGGTGCCCAGCCCGCAATACAACGATTGGCAGTGGGCAGGAAAGCAGCAGCAGCAGCCCGTTGTGTCTACTCGTGGCGGCGGCCTCCCGGGGCTGCCCAACCTTCCGAGTCTCGGCAGCGTCGCGTCTCAAGCTTACGCATTGCCCTCGGCTGGTGGTTGGAGCGGGTCCTCTTCCGGTGGCTACCAGCAGCAGCCTTGGGACGACCCGCGCGACCGCCAACGCACACCCCCGAGCTCGGTCCCGCGTTCGCTTGCCGCCTTTGTTCCCTCGGGCGTCGAGTTTACGGCCCAGACACGCGAACACTACTTGTCGCTCTCGCCCGGAGAACCACTCGCCAACGGACCGCCCATCCCGATGAGGGACATCTACATGTACAAGAACCGGTATCCATTTTTGGACTCGATTGCGGCGTCGCCGGCGCCGGTGCCCGTGTTCCACATTGACATCCCCGTCGCCTTTGGTGCCAACTTGCAGCAGCGCCGCAACCTCATCCAACGCACCACCGCGTTCGGCCTGCACCTGCTGCTCCGTCCCCTCGGCGACGCCAACGGATGGGCGCTTACCACCGACACTGCATTCCTGCACACCCAGGGTGCGATCAAGTACATGCGCACCATTGAGCAGCTTCGTATCAACCCGACCGGCGACCTCAGTTCCGACACGCGCATCACAGACCTCGTTCGTCTGTATGACCAGCTCCTGGCGCAGGAACGCGGCGGCGACTCGTTTTCAAACGTCGGCGCACCCATGTCTGTCGTCGTCCAGCGCATCATTCGCGACAATGGCGGCGACCGCGTGTCCACCAGCAACTGCTTTGGCGAAGACTGGGCAGACGCGTCTGTCGTGCTCATATACACGTTTTGGGCAGACAACCGTCAACCTTTCGTCTGTCGTCCCGTCGACTTTGACCAGCGCGGACCGCCCCAGGACGTCGTCGCGGCCGACCAGCTCGTCGCCGACTTGCTCGCCGGCGAGGAACAGCAGCCAAGCAAGTTTGAGTGGATGTAAGCAAATTAGCCGCGGCTGTTGTCATCCGTCGTGTCTCTTTTGTTGCCTCTTGTCAGCACACACAAAAAAACAAACAACAACAAACAGCGACCAAAAAAACAAACACTACCACACCACCACCATCACCACCACCACCACCCGCCATGCCACGGCTGGCAGGCTCATTTTTCTCTCGACCTCGGATAGCATGTTTCGTTCTCCCTCTCCCACACGCACGCACACACATACGCACACATTGTAAAAAAACTCCCATACGTTATTACTCGGTCTCTTCTTTTTTTCCTTCGCACCCTCTGGCCTCTCTCTCCCCTCCGGATGCATCGGCTTTCTTGGGTTACATTATCCCACGCACAACATACCACTGACACGCCTGAAACTAGCTGAAATTAATAAAATATAAACTGGGACACGGAACTGGTCGGTCCACGCGATACCCCCAGTGGCCCCAGTGGAGTGGAAACGAGCGCTTAAAGTGAAAAATGAGAGGGGGGGAACACGCGGGGGTACGCGGGAACGTGCGCCAAAATAAACCCACCCAAAAAAGCAGGCTCCAGCGGTGCCGTGTGCCAAGTGGTGCCAAGCAGATCGGCGGATCAGCAGGTCGCGCGAAAGTGGACCGTTCCCGAGCAGGGGTTTCTCACTGCTGACACACTCACGTCGTGGTACTCGCTCTCAACACAGCGCGGCGTGCTGGTGTTGGGAGGGTTTGGGGTGTACAGTAGTACGTGCCAAGCCGGTCGTGCTTCCCCTGCCTCCCGTGCTCCCGTGCTCCACAGAACAAAAGTAACCCCCGAGACCAGAACAGAGTTTCTGCTGGTACCAGGATTAGAACAAGGTGCACCGCCGTGTGGGATCCCGCCGATCCGCAGTGTGGGGGTTCCAGCGCGCGAGGTCCCGGTGGTGCCATGTACTGTACTGTGCTGTGCTGTGCTGTGCTGTACTTGGCATCTCGATTGCGAGATCTGGACCGGACGGACCTACCTACGAAAAGGAACGGCGCGACGGCCGTCGGCGATGAGGACGATGAGGACGATGACGACTGCTATAACCGTTAGGCTTGTTGCGAGGTGCGTTAGTTGGCTCTGGGCTGGATGGTGTAGTGAAGGGAGAGGAAGGGGAAGCGGGAGGGGGGAGGGGGGAGGGAGGAGGGAGAAGGGAGAACGGGTCCATTCACCAATAGCCAGATTGCTGGATGTACCACAGTGTCTGTGCACCTACTGCGCGCATGCAGCGCTGTGCACTGTATCGCGAGTCGCGAGTAGAATCTCGAGTCAGCACGGTCAGTAGGATCAGTGTAGCAAGAAGCGCGTCAGTGGGCCAGAGGCCCGAGGACACTCACCTCACCGTCGCCCACTCGTCAGCCACATTCCAAGGTAATCTGCCTTTGGCGGCTCGGGAGATACACTGCCCGAGTACAAAACAGCGCATGCCGAGCTCTAGTGTATTCGGGATCAACGTAGGCACACGCGCACATTAAGAAGGGTGGGAGAAGTGTGTGGTGAACACACAAGGTCCACACTGCCCCCCCCCCCCCGGACGGAAGAGAGCACGTTCGTGTTTGTCACATTTCGACGCGCGTCATGTCGTGGCTCGCGCGCGACGCACATTCCACCCGACACCCGCGCGCATTCCTCCAGCATTCCTCCAGCGTGCACACGCAGGAGTGCCAGTGCAAACGAGTGCCAGGCGCCTGGGTAGCTGGGTCCCGCCGTCTGCCACAAGTTACAACGTACCACCACGCCTTTTATGGGACTCGAGGACTGTATGTGGCTCTTTAAGTTATCCCTCCAGATACTGAACCTGCCTCGTCGTTTGATCTGATATCACTGCCACACACAGCCTTGCCGACCTCGCCATAAGCCAGACGCGCGCGTGCTGTGGCCTCTGGCCTCTGGCACTTATCCAGCTCGTCAGAAGCGACTGTGAAAGGGTGAGATCTCGCAGTGGGTCAATGGAAGAGGCCATGGCTCAGATCCGTCTCACCCCTTTGCCTGTGCCCTTTTACCCCGCCTAGCCTCCCCCTCCCCCTCCGGGCCACCCGTGCCCCAGCGGCAGGAAGGACACGCGTCCGCTAGAGAGGGTTCGGTTAACATGTTCGCGCGCGGAAGGCGCGTGTAAGGGAGGGAGAGTGTGTGTGTGTGTTTGGCGGCCTCGGATCGAAGAGATCTGGTGGCGTTCAACAGAGTTGTGCCACGCCACAGACCACCAGCCAAGCTCCTGTGTGCCGCCACTTGCAAAGGGCTGGAAGAGGTTCGTTTTGCGTTCCACGCGCCACAGCAGGCAACAGGCAACAGGCAACAAACAACACGCGTCCACAAAGGTACAGCATGTCTGCGGCCAGAGCCGTCCGTCACCGCCGTGGTGGGTCAACGGCGCGGCGATTCTCGTCTCGTCTCACCTCGTCTCGTCTCGTCTTGTCGTCCTGACCCACCACCGCCCAACCCTACCCGCACGAACACACTAACACGCGGAAGTCTCTTCCCATACTCGGGTGACCTATGACTGACTTGAACAAGCCTCGGCCGGGCAGGGTGCTACGACGTAATCTGCGCAAGCGCTTGCAGAAACCACGGGAGGTGTCGAGAATGTCGAGCATCGAGTGTCTCGAGGATCAAAAGATCAAGGACCGTCACCGCGACCATGGTCGCTCGCCATGGCAGGCAAGGGCCACCTGCAACAACGACCGCACGCGTTCGTCGCTCGCGCATATAGCATACACGCCATGGAGAAAGGGCGGGCACACGACCACGACCCCGCCGCTCGCCATCTCCCCTGATGCCAAATGCCATGTCGATCGCTATCGGCGATCCATCGCCAGTGAGCGTTATCGGGTGGGCGTTGTTTGTCATTTATCACTTATCATTTCCCGACCACCCACTCCCCCGGCCCCCAACCCCCTTCGGCAGGCCAGCTAGGCCAGGCGCCATGGCAATAGCGCCATCCCAATAGCCGTGCGGCATGTCCCTCTCCACACACCCACCCACCGAGGCCGGAACCCGTCACCCCACTGGCTCCACGTACAGTGTTTCGAGAGGCCGGATGGCCGGCGCCTGCGAGCCAGAGGCCAGAGGAGACGGCAGGTGTCATGTCCCATATCCTGGGAGAGAGAGACAGAGACCGAGGACCGAGGACCGTACGAACCCGGACGTGAGGTCCCCCCCTCGGACGTTCTCGCATCACCTGTCGTATCTCGGACGGCACGGAGACGGGCATGGCGGCGGACATGACGGCGACCAGCAACGACCGCACAGCCCCACGGCCCCAACCTGTTGTTTCGTCAGTACACCGCGGACTGGTTAGTGTTCAGGTATCCCCGGTCTAGGCAAAAACACGTCCATCAATTCTAGCTACAACACGGACGGTGGGGGAGTGGATTGGGCGGTGGGTGGGTTGGGGGGTTGGGGTGCCGGGCCGACCGACCCTCTGGGGTCTCGGCGGTGGCTTTTATTATGCTGTGGTGTGCAGATGGGGAGGGGAGGGGGGAGTGGGGAGGGGGAGGGGGAGTTGGGGTGGGAGTTGGGGTGGGAGTTGGGGTGGGAGTTGGGGTTTTAGGGGGTTGGGGGGAGGGGGCGAACGAAGATAGCGATAGAGGTAGGGGTAGAGGGTGAACTTTAGGGCGGGTGATGGACGTCCTGGGCCCGGCAAGCGGGAGGGGGCACTTAGGGGGGGGGGACTTGGGTTGTTGGAAACAAAGGTCCTCAGCGATAACAATGGACAACAGCAGATAACGGCCCAAAAGGATAACGCAAAAACGGAAAGACGCAAACACACAACAACGCGGTTTGCGCAGCCGTTTACACGTCCAATGGGTCGATATTGGCGAACAGCACGGCGTCACGGCCGCGCTGCACGGGGGCCATCTTGGGCGCAGCGGCAGCTGCGGGCACGGCGGGGCGTGCGGCGGCGGCGGTGCCGGGAACAGCAGTGGTCGCAGCCACTCCGGCGCCGACGACACCGGCGGGGCGGGGTGCCGGCGCAGCAGCGTTGGCCGTCGCCGTCGTGGTCGCGGCAGGTGCGGCCGTGCCGTTGGCAGGGCGCTGTGGTGTGGGCCATGTACCCATGCGAGGGGCCTGGGCACCACCGACAGTGTGTCCAGTAGGCGCCGGGGAAGGGCGGGCGGGTACGCCGGCAGGCGCGGGCACATTGTAAGGTGCGGCGCCGTTGCGGACTGCCTCGCGCATGTTGGCCTGTCCTGTCCTGTCGCGCTTGGGGACCGGGGGGTGGGATGGGGGGTGTGGGTGCGTGCCGTTCTGGAGCATGCGCAAGCCGTACTCGCCGTGCTCGCCCGAGTTGAGGTAGTGGTACTTGAGACCGTTCATCTGGCGGTAACGCTTGTTGCAGCCGGCACCGACAGCGCAGACGTATGGGCGGGAGCGTTCCTCGGCTTCCTCAAGAGTGAGACCGTGGTCGATGGCGTCGTGAATGGCAAAGTCGCATTGGCTGGGAGAGGTCAGTCCACTGTACCACTGGCGGCAATAAAAAACGCCACAGCATCATCATTTGTAACTCACCCCTTCTGCAAGTGGTATTTGAGACCGTTGCTCTGCTTGTAGGCCTTGTTACAACCAGGGTTAGGACACCTCCATGCCTTGTGCGTGGTGAACAGCGAGGGCTGGGGGAGCTGGGGCTCGGGGACCTTGGGCTTGTCGCCGTTTGCAGGCTTCTCCTCGCCGGCCTTGGTCGCGTCGGCAGTAGCCTCAGTCTCCGTAGTCTTGGTGGCCTCCTCGGTTGCGCCGGTGGTGGCGGTAGGGGTCACGGTACCGTTGCCGACCGTGCCGTTCTGGCGACCAACAACGGACGGAGCCGAGGGGATACCCATGGCGGCGGCGGCAGTGAACAGGACGCCAGGCGCGACGGCGGTCGGACCCGGAGGCTGGGCCGGGTCGTCGGTGAGTCCCGCCTTGCCAGCGACCACCTCGTTGAACGCGCGGTCGAACCGGTTAGGCCCAGTCTTTGCCGGGCCGCTGAGGAAGGCACTACGCGACGCCTGCGTAATCTTGGGGGCAGCGCCAAAGGGCGATGACTGCGTGGGAGACGAGCGGGTGGATTGCGTAGGGGTCAAGAGCATGTCAGGGGATGTGGATGGGAGGGCAAGAGTCGAGTCATCAGTGGGTGGCGACTTGAGGACGTCGGAGAGCTGGAGCGGGGCGATTGTGGCTGGCACCTGGGCAGGTGCGTCGGGCTTGGGGCCAGCGCCCGACGTGGGTGTAAGTGGGTAGTGGGGCACGGGGCGAGGCGAGGTTGAGGAGCGGTTGGAGTGTGTAGCTGATGGAACCTCGCCGTCGCCGTCGCCTTCACCGAGGTCGAGGTCCATGGCCAGCGTGACGGGTGAAAAGCCCGCATCGGGCATGGCAGAGTCGGTGTATGGGTGCTGGTCCTCGACATGTTCCAGAAGGGCATGGAGCCCATTGTGGTGCGTTCCACAGCATTCGTAGTCCTGGTTCAAGTCCTCGTTGTTGCGCAGGCTACGCAGCGTCTCGAGCTGATTCCGCGAGTACGAGTAGCCAAGCGATCCAAGGCCCATGCTGTTGCCAGTGGTCAGGGAAGCCAAAGACGCCGAGAGCATATTGGGGTTGTACTCCTTGCCGTATGAGACGGCCATCGCATACGAGCGGCGAGTGTACGAGCTGGCACCTGCAATGGGCAGGCCAAACGCCGCCGAGCTGGCGGCAAACGACCCGGGGTCCATGGTGATGGACGACGAGAATGGAATGTGTGGCGAGTCGCCGCTGCAAAGGGGGGTGTCAGCGAGGTGGAACGGCGGTTCGTTCGCTGGGCGGCAAAAGTCCCCCCGCGCCCCCCAGCGTCCGTTAGTCAGTGTGTGTACTCACCCTGCGTCGCCGTAGAAACGTGCTCCGTATGAGCCTGGGACACCTCCGCCGTTACCAAAGCTGAAGGCGCCGCCGTCTGTAAAGCTGATGCCGGACATGGCTGCGCCAAAGGACATTGGGGTGGCGTTGGTCCTGCTTCCAATGGTGGGAACACGGAGGGCCGCTTGAGATGTGGACATTTTCCGCGAAAGCCGAGCTGGGTTGGCTGGCGCGGAGATGGGCTGGGGTGGCTGTGCCGACGTGGGCATCGTGGCCGGGGTTGGGATGGGGGATGGAGGAAGAGAAGAAGGATGGAGGTTGGGAGGGGGGAGAAGAGAGAGAGAGAGTGGAAAGGTGGGGTTTGGTGTTGGTGTGTGTGTGTTTCTTAGGTGGTGGTCCGACTTTTGCTGACGCGAAGAGTGTGATGTGGGATAGGCCAAGCCGGGACCTGGGCACGGCGGGACGACGACGTGTGTATGCAGGTGGCTCGGTGTTGTGAGGGAGGGTGGGGGTTGTTATAACAGGATTGATGTGAGGGGTGTGTATATGGGGGTTGTGGACACCTTTGTGAGAGAGAGAGATGGATGTGTGAGATGGGTACGGTGTGGAGTGAAAGGGAGGGGGGCCAGTGAATGGGGACCGGGGGGGGGGATGGATGGATGGATGGCTCTGCTGGCTGGCTGCAAGCGGGGCGGGGGGGGGGGGAGAGGGGGATGGGGGATGGGGGGTGAACGCACGCACACACGCGCGCGCACACGCTTTGCATGGCAGGTGGCTGCAGCGCTCGAGAGGGAGTGGCGAGGCGCGCGCGCCAAAAGCCCCGGCCGGCTCAAGAGCGGACGGTCCCTCCGCACACGCATGGCAGCAGCAGCTGCTGGAGCTGTTGGCGGCGGACGGACGCAGGGTGGGAGAGGGAGGGGAGGGGGGAGGAGCTTATTCAGGAATGGGCGGGCCCAACAGGGTTCTCCCAACGGCCAGCAACGCTCAGTCTCTGCCAAAATACAAATAAGCACGGAAACCTCCCGCAACGGGCCACACTAAAAACATAATACATTGACCAAAACTCAATTGCCCATGTCATATTACCCGCCCCCGCCCTCGCCCTACACACATTAAACCTCACCCAAAACCTATTTGTAATTACACATACCCCGGGTAATGGGCCCGTGTCGTATGTCGCCTTGTGTCATGCCACTCTCTCTCTCTCCCTGCTCACTCAATGCAACCCCCTCCCTCACCATCTCCCCTGTCTCCTTCCCTATCCCATCCCCTCTGCATCCTATCACAGTGAGCATCATGCACAGACAGCAAATCCACATGCATGCATGCCCATTTTAGAACCACAGACATTCTCCATCCAGGTCAAGCCTCACCAGGCGTTGCACCGTTTTCGTCTGTACAGGAAACACACACTGGTACACTGGCCACTAGTCCTTACATGAGACCCTGTCTCGCCGTACCCTCTCCCCAACACCACTCGGCCCTGCTCGCCCCCGTCTCCTTTTTCAACAGCTGTACACACTACTGTACACCACTGTACCTTGATTCCTGGTATATTTCCTTCACCAAAAAGCCAGATCCAAGCACGGGAGAGGCGCCAGGTCTATGGCTACTCTGTAGCGGAGTGCGCAAAGCCTCCTCGTCATACCCGTGCTTCCGACTCCACCTCCCCCCACATCATGTAGGTATCCCTGGGAGGGTGGCAGACGTCTGCGCACAGCACCACAGCGGCCACAGCAGGGGGGGCCGGCCCGGACAGACCACAGGCATACCCACACCCACTCTCTCTCCGACACATCCAAAGGTCATCCAAGGTCTAAGGTTCAGGGTTTCGGCCCCTTTTCTTTCCACATGTCCTTTTTTTTTTGGGTTGGCAAAAAGCGACTTTTCGTATACGGTTGATATACGTTTGATATACCCAGTCTCGAATACAAAGGTGTACCCAGGGCCGCCCATTAGGACGGAGGGGGAGGAGGAGGAGGGGAAGGGGGAGGGGTTCCAGTGGGCTCAGGGGGCTGATGTGGCGATGGTGGAGCGCAAGTGGAGGTGGTGGTGGAAGGCTTGGGTTTGCCCGACCGATGCGAGGACGAGCACGAGGACGAGGCCGACGAGTCCGAGTCTGACCCATCGCTTCCGTACCCTCCCAGCCCGCCGAGGGACCCCATCGCACCTCCACCGCCGCCGCTGCCGCTGCCGATTGATCCCTTTGCCTTTGCGCGCACATTTGGCGCCACTTTATGCTCAACCGTGGACTGTGATGAGGTGGCCAACGACGACGACGACAGATGGCTGTCTTGATTATAAACTTTGGTTCCCGGACCCGGTCCAGCAGCAGCGATATGTGGGCCTGTCACGGTGCCTTGTAATCGACCCATCCCGTCCGGGACCTTGACCTTGTCTCGTTGCCGCCCAGCCAACGCGGAGAGCGAGAGCGAGCCAGCACCGCCGCTGCTCACAGTGCCCGACGGACCGGAAGCAGCAGTGGAAGCAGAGCCTGCTCCTCCTGAATGCGAAAGCGAAGGCAAATGGCTGACAGCGGCAGCGCGTACTCGTGCCCAGACGGCAGAATGCACTGCTCCGGCGCGCAGGAACGTGAAGCGCGCGTCGGCCGAATGCCGGGCCAGAATCCGCATCTCGAGCGCGGCGGCGTTGGGCGAAGCGGCGAGCGCGCGCGCAGTGTGTTCCATGAGGTTGAGGATCTCGGCCGTTGGCTGTGGGGGCGAGGATGTGAGCGTGAGTGAGTGCGTTCAATCAACGGTCCTCGGAGACCAGATGGGCCACGATGTCCGCCCATCTGTCCATCCGCACTCACCGGCTCGTTTGCTAGGCGATCCTGGGCGTCCATTGCTGCCTGCTTTGTGGCCCCGTCCTCGCGGGCGCGATCACGTAGCCGCGCCTCGCGAAGGCCCTCCACCCACGCACGCCGCTTGCCGGCCTTGTACGCTGCGACCTCGTCGTCGCCCGACAGCGCCCACGCCTCCTCCTCGTCAGACGGCAGCGACCAGGACGCGTACGAGGAGCGCGACCCGCTCGAGCTGGCGGGGGAAGGCGGTCGCGGGCGGTCGTCACGGCTGGTATCCACGTCGAGCGAGCTGAGAAGGTGCACAATGTCGTGTCTGCAATGGTGTCAGGAGGAGGTGTCTGGGCAAAAGTGTATCGTCACCTGTCGGCCCACACGTCACGCTGGGCTCGTTGGCCACCACCTTGCTCGCCCCCGGTCCACCGCATCAGTGCCGGCTTGGGAGGTCGCGACCGCACGAGCTGGGTCTCGTACGCCCTCGTGAACGCCGCAGGAGGTAAAGCAGCACTAGACGATGTCGATACCTCAGTATCGTCTCGACGCTGCTGCCGTGGCCGTTTTGGATGTGCTGGTCTGGGCATGGCTCCGTTTGGGGGTGTTTGTTTTGGTGGCAAAAAGGCCGATTGGTGTTGATATGGATGAACAAGGGGTGGACCAATTTGGTTCCGTCGGGTGGAGGCAACAAGGTGAAAGCCGTCTCGCCACCAAGGAACTGTTGCATTCTAGTTGTTCCTTCTTTACCCAAAACAACCAATTTCCTCGCCCACATGCCTCGGCCAGCGTCCCCCGAAGGACGCCGGGAGCGGGAACTCAAGGACGACGAGAGGAGGGACTCGAGGGAATCGAGCTCGCGCAGAGACCAGGAGCGCGACCGCGAAGACCACCGGGATAGCAGGGAGGGGAAGGATCGCGATCGCGACAGACGTGATCGTGACCGTGACCGCGACCGCGACCGCGACCGTGACCGCGACCGTGATCGCGACCGTGACCGCAGACGGGACGACAAGTACGATAGGGACGACCGTGAACGTGATCGTGACTCCCGGCGAGACCGCGACCGGAGCAGTCGGCATGACGACGAAAGGAGGGAACGCAAGCGCCGAGAGAGGGAGAGGAGTGGGAGCCGGGACCGCAGATCCAAGCGCGACCGAAGGAGAGAGTGAGTTAGATGGTGTGGCATAATATCTAACCCATGTCCAGCTCGCGCAGCCGCTCGCCTACCGAACGCGACGAACGACGGAAACGCAAAGAGGCCAAACGCACGGCCAAGCGCGAGGCCGAGCTCGAGCACGCCCGCAAGCTCACCGAGCTGACCATGTACTCTGCGGCCGACAATCCGTTCCACGACGCCAACCTCGGACAGCAGTTCCAATGGCACAAGAAGCAAGAAAAGGAGAAGAAGGCGGGCATGACGCCCGAAGAGATTCAGCGCAAGGACGCCATCCGCCGCATCGAAGCCAAGGAGGAGCTCGAGAAGCTGAACAAAAAACGCGCCGAGCGCGAAGTGGAGATGGCGCTCCGCGACGAGGAGGAGACGCGCATGAAGCGTATGGCCGAGGACGCGGCCATGGCCGAGTGGATCGCCAAGGAGGACTCGTTCCAGCTCGAGCAGTCCCGTCGCCGTGCCGGTATCCGCCTCCGCATGCAGCGCGCCAAGGCGATCGACTTTCTGGCCATCAATCTCCGTTTCGCAGACGTGTCCGCCATGGCACGCACGACGGCCGCTCTCGGTGCCCTCACTAACCCCCGTGCAGCCGAGGTCGCGCGCGAGGAGGAGGAGGAAGGGTGGGGGTGGGCGGACGCTGGGTTTGAGTTTGAGATTGACGAGCCGTGGAAGATCTTCGAGGTGGGTTTATAGCGACCGTCACCTCTCTAACCCTCCAGAACCTCACTCTGGAAGACTGTGTCGAGCTCGAGCAAGATATCAAAATGTATCTCTCGCTCGAGGCCTCGCCCATCAACGCCGAGTTCTGGGAGGCCATGCTGGTCGTGTGCAAGCACCACCTCGAGACGCTGCGCGACCCCGAGCGCGCCGCCGGCGGTCGCCTGCACAACCAAGAGGTCGATGACTCTGCTGCGAACATTGTCAACGGCCTGAGTCTGCAGCGCTTAAGCGACCTCGAGGCCCGCACGCACGCCATGCTCAACAGCGGCGAGCCAATCGACGGCGAGTTTTGGGATTTGGTGCTCAAGAAGATCACCGTTGCCAAAGCTATTGTGGGTTCGAAGATGCGTCCTCACAGCTAACCCACCAGGCCAAACTCAACACCATCCACGAGATTGTGCTCAAGAACCGCCTCGAGCAGTTCAAGAAGCGCCAGCGCGAGGACGCCGCCAAGGCCCAGGCCGAGATGGGCGGCGTCCTGGACGAGACGGAGGACGACGGCGCATTCGGCGGCGACATGCATGCGGGCGGTGTGGAGGCCGATGTTGAGGACGACGAGGACGACGAGGACGACTTCATCGAGTCGTACAGGCCCGAGATGAGTCCCGAGCCTGTCGACACGGCCAAGATGACGCCCGACGACCGTCGCCTGCCCTTTGTCCTGGAGGAGGACGAGCTCCGCGCACTGTTCAAGGCCCGCCACACCATCTCGCACGCCACGTTCATGCCCCAGTCCATGGCCCGCGATGCTGTCTCGGCTTCGGCCGCGGCAGTTCCCGACGAGCCCCTCGAACGCGCCCTGGATGCCGACGCCGAGGCCGTCGCAGAGTGGCGCGCACAGATTGCCGCCGAGCCCCGCGACTGGGGAGACAGCGAGAGCGAGGAGGAGATGGAGGAAGGCGACCTGGCCGACGAACTCGACAACGCTGCCCCGGCCGCATACGATTGGAGCGACAAGTACCGCCCGCGCAAGCCGAGATACTTTAACCGTGTCCACACAGGTTACGAGTGGACGCAGTACAACCAGACACATTATGAGTGGGTATGCGAAATACGACGCTCTACTGACCCAGCAGCACGGACAACCCGCCGCCCAAGGTCGTCCAGGGCTACAAGTTTAACATCTTCTACCCAGACCTCATTGACAAGTCCAAGGCGCCCACATACCACATCAAGCGTATCCCAGAGGACCCGGACACGCAGATGATTGTGTTTACGTCTGGCCCGCCGTACGAGGACATTGCGTTCCGCATCATCCGCAGGCCTTGGGAGTACTCGCACCGCAAGGGGTTCAAGAGCAACTTTGATCGCGGCGTCCTTCAGCGTAGGTCGACGCTTGCCGTGTGTCGCTGACCTGCCCAGTGTACTTCAACTTTAGCAGACAGTTTTACAAAAAGTAGAAAACAAAGAGAGCATGGGTCAGCAGTATGCATTTATCATTGTTATAGACCATGTGGCCGGTGGCCATGCATGTCGCGATGCGAGAACGGCGATGATCGATGAGTGGCCAGAGTGGTAAACCCACCCATTCCATTTCCGCCACCCAAATCCGTCATTGATTGAAAACACCCGCCAACAGCGATTTCTCGAACCCTCCACCTCCCCTTTCATCCACCTTCCAACCACCATCCATCAACCATGAGCGCACCCCCAGGCGCCGGACGCGTCCCACCAGGACCTCCTCCCGGCGGTCCCCAGCGCCCTGCCGGTCCTCCCGCTGGGTGAGTCGCGCTGCTTCCCGCCGTAGCTACAAAGGTTGGCTCGCTTGTCCAGGAGAGATGTTGTTGGGTTCCCTCGACAACGCCCCACCTCCCAGCTCTCCCAACCAAGCTTCAAGCAGGGCTAGCCTTGGCGAGTATCTGCTGACATATATCCCAGTGGACCGCTCGCTGCGCCTCCGCCGCCGCCGCCCCGGTCGGCCGCGATGCCCAACTTTCCCCCACCGCTGCCTCCAGGCTGGACCGAGCACCGTGGTGAGTGCCCTCGCCGCGAGGTGTAGCTGTTAGAAATGAGAACGCTGACCTCGCCAGCCCCCGACGGCGTGACGCCCTATTACTACAACGCCGCGACCAAGGCCTCGACATACACGCGCCCGCACATGGTCGTCGCCGCGCCGCCGTTCGCCGGCGCCGGCGGCGCGCTCCCTCCTCCTCCGGGCGTCTTCCCTCCTGCCGCTGTGGCCGCCGCCGCCGCCGCGCCCGAGAAGAAGAAGAAGAAGGAAAAGGCCAAGAACAAGGTGCCCATCCCGGGCACGACGTGGCTGCGCGTGTCGACCAACGAGGGCAACGTGTTCTACTTTGAAAAGGAGGCCAAGCGGAGCGAATGGACGGTCCCCGACGAGATTGCCGAGGCGGTCGCGGCGCTTGAGGCTGACGAACGCGCCGAGAGGGAGGAGCAGGCCAAGGCCGAGCGCCTCGAGCGCCTGCGCGAGCAGGAGCGCGTGCGCGCCGAGGTCGAGGAAGAGCGCGCGCGGAAGCGCGCCGAAAAGGCCGAGCGCGCCGAGAAGGATAAAGAGCGTAAGCGCAAGGCTGCTGCTGAGGATGGCGGACGCGCGGCCAAGGTTGCCAAGCGGGACGGCGAGGACAAGGTCGCCGAGGCGGGTGAGGGGGAGGGAGAAGCAGAGGGGGAGGACAAGGAGCAGTTTGCGCCAGAGGGTGCAGACGACGAGGAGGCGTGGGCCAAGGCCGTCGCGGCCGAGTTTGCCCAGTCGGACGCGGCCAAGGCGGTGGCCGACGCCGAGGCAGAGGACGCGGCCAAGCGTGCAGAGGAGGACGCGGCCAAGAAGGTGTTTGCCGCTGCGGACGCTGTCAAGGTGTCGCCCGAGGAAGCGCGCGCTCTCTTCAAGGTGAGCTGAGACAATCGTTGTGTGTCAGCTAACAACCAGGCCCTTCTTGCCGACAAGAACATTTCACCCTTTGCCCCCTGGGAGCAGTCGCTGCCACTCTTCATCAACGACCCGCGCTACGTGCTCTTGGCGTCCATGAAGGAGCGACAGATCGCATACGAAGAGTATTGCCGTGACGCGGGCCGCCAGCGGCGCCTGAACAAGGCGCCTGCCGCGGTCGAGAAGAAGGCGGCCGATCCCGAGCGCGACTACCGCGCCCTCCTCCGCGAAGAGGTCACGTCGACGCGTACCCGCTTTGACGACTTTAAGCGCAAGAGCAAAAAAGACCGCAGGTTCTACTCGTACGGCCGTGACGACCGCGAGCGCGAAAAGGCCTTCAAGACGCACCTGCGCGAACTGGGCGAGCGCAAGCGCGCAGACGCAGCGCGCGCCGAGGCAGACTTTATCGATCTCCTCAAGGAGGCTGGCGAGGTGACGGCCGGCGCGGCGTGGTCGGACGTCAAGCGCCGGATCTCGAGTGATGTGCGCTACGACGCTGTGGGCTCGAGCTCGCTGCGTGCTGAGCTGTTTGACAACTACCTCAAGAAGCTGGGTAGCGAGCCAGCCGCGCCCGAGACGGCCGAGGAGGCGGCCGAGCGCAAGCTCCGCGAGCGCAAGGAGAGGCAGGCGGCGAGCCTGCGCGAGCGCGAGGGTAAAGTGCGCGCCGAGCAGGCCCAGGTCAGCGAGGCAGTGGACAAGAGCCGTGCCGGTGCTGGCCGCGAGGAGGCCGAGCGTCTATACGGCTCCTTGCTGGTGGACGTTGTGCGCAGCCACGACATGACATGGGACGCCGCCATGCCCATCCTCCAGCAGGACCCGCGGTTCGCACACCCGTCTCTGCGCCCCGGCGACAAGCGCCGCCTGTTCGAGGGCCACATCGAGCGCCTGTCCTCGACCAAGAGCAACGCCCTGCAAAAGCTCTTTGCCACGCACGCCCCCGAGCTCGACACGCCGTACGAGACCGTCTACGCCGCCATTGCCGACGACCCCTTGGTCACGCGCATGGGCCTGGACGCCGCTGCGCTCGAAGACCGCTTCCTCGTCTGGCGCCGGGCCCGCGAGGCCGACGCCCGCCGCGACTTTGACGTGCTCCTGGGCGAGAACAAGTTTGTCGACTTTTGGGGCCGCATGCGTAACAAAACGCTCGACGAGGCCGCCGCAAAGGTCAAGGAGCACGACGAGCGCGACGAGGGTGAAGGTCTCGGCGAGGGCGGCAGCGCCGACATTACATCGCTCGCCAAGCAGATCGACCTCGAGGAAGTCAAGAGCGTCCTCCGCCGCGACAGGCGGTACCGCCAGTTCGACCACATGCCCGAGGTCCGCGAGCAGTGGCTGCGGGTGAGTAGTTGCTTCAGCTCACATAAAGGCGTGGCCGTGCAGCTGGCTGACTGGTCTCACAGGAATACCTCGAAAACCTCGAGGGATCAAAGGGTTCGGAGACGATTCACAGCGTTGGCGCGGGGTTCCACTAGATGCACGCAACGTGTGCTTGTATTCGGCGCATGCATACCTGCCACACTATGACTGCAAGGTTTGGGCCGAGGATATGAGGTATGGCAGGGGGGCGCAAAGTGTCCATGGCATGAGCGCGGCGATTAGAGTACATGCACAGCATACAGCAATGCCTTCACCGTAATGGCTCCCGACCAGCTCTTTCAGCTACCGGCTCCCCAGCACTGCGCGACCACAAAGTCCGAACCGATGGTCACATGAATGGCTGACAGACAGATGCTATCAGAGAATCTACGGGTGTCTAGAGCCACACTTTGGCTCGGCTCCCTATGCAAGGCGAAATGGTGTGGCGGACGAGTATACCGGGATCCTATTGACGTCGCGCGCCGTATAGTGGCGCATGTCGCTGTCGTAGTGTGCCCACCGGCGAGCTTGGTTTCCCAGGTGGAGCCAAGGCGCAGGCGAGGTAACACCGCTGGAACGACGAACCGAGTCTCGTAAAAGCGGTGGTGGCGGCGGGGGCGAGTCGGGGGTGGTGGGGGTGGGGAGCTTGGCGGGGGAGGCGGAGGCGGAGAGTCTGCTGGCGGCGGCGGCGGCGGCGGTGGGAGGTTGGTGGGGTCGGTCGAGGAGAGGACTCGTTGGATTGTAGGGCAGATAGCTCCAAGTCACGCGAGGGCGAGGGCGAGGCAGCGGACGACGCTTCGATGCTCATGTCCGATTCAGAACTGTCGTCGCTTTGTTCCAGCTCGTCCTCATCCGGGTCGAGGCCGCCACCAAACACTTGCAGTTGTGCATTTGGGTCCTCGGGCTCTTCCAGTGGTGTTGCCCGGATTCTCCCCAAGACCTCGTCGTTGGATCTGTCGTTAGCGAGCTTGTGGCGACCGCAAACCGTTCAGCTCACCTTTGGTCGAAACCCAGCCAGAGGGGTAGCCCCAGTCCAGCATGTCGTATATCCACGGCCAGTCGCGGTCCCTCTTGATTTCAAGCTGGTTCTGCTTTGAGACGTGACACGTCAACGCGTCCGCAAGCGCCAGAGAGACGCGGCCGGGCGTGAATGCCTGCGCCAGAGCCAAG